CTTAGGCATTTCTACCATTTAGTTTATTTAATTTCCTATTTTATAATGTTTTTACAATTTATTTTATTTTAAGCTTTATTTAATTTTCGTTTGTTATTTTTCAGCATTAATAGCTTTTAGTGAAAAATTCATAACTGGAGCTACAGGAATCGGATTGAGGCATTCTACCAGTCGTTGGAAAGCTAAGAAAGAGATCTACAACTTTCATGTTGCACAAAGGAGCTGATTCGGATTTCTTGAGTCTCGAATAATTCGTTGAAGTTTCTGACTTGTGACAATGTAGTTTTCCTTGCGGGTCTAGTTTAGGTTTCTGGCCCAGTTATTTTCTATTTAAAGTTGTTGTTGTGATGCAAAACAGGGACCTAGTTTATTTTCCGAATTTTTTTCCTTTGTTTTATAGTTTTCATGGAGAACTAATACCTCCGGGCAAATCCCGCTGTGTACGGTTTCAACACTTTGAGGTTATTATTATGTCAATTTACTCTGATTCCTTTCAATCCTTTTCTATGAAGTCATCTGCTTAATTTGATTACAATTGTTTGCTTAATTCAATTGTTGTTCATAGGATAGAATTGGTTAAATTCGATTGTATGCATGTTCCTAAATTTAATTGCGTATTATCGTTTGCTTAATTCGTTAATTCGTCATATTCTTAACCGTTTGCTTAATTCGGTAAACAGGAACATAATTCATTTGATGTTGATAAGCGCTTGTTTGATTAATATCATAATCGAATAGGATTGGTACCGCTTAGGGATTGATGTTATAATAACCGATGATAAGTCGGAACCCGAATCAGTAGGATTAACCGTTTTAGTTTATCTGATAATCACTTTTTTTTAATCACTTTTTTTTTCTTATTTTATAAATCAAAACTTAAAACCCCCATAAACATTTTCTTTAGTTGGTTGAAATAATACAAGAATCCTTGTGAGAACGATATTTCGAGTCATTTGTCGCTATATTACATTTTTATCAAAACTACTCGTTTTTGATCCGCGAGCGACCGCAGATCAAATTGGCGCCGTTGCCGGGGATTCTTATTAATTTTAGCCAAATGTAAAATTTTAATTTTAGAGTTTTTGTTTTTTTTTGTTTTTTGTTTTTTGTTTTTGTGTGTAAATTTTCAGGGTTGCAGTACAGTGGTAAGCGTTTCAGCCTATCAGGTGAGTTTGTAAGTTATTGTTCCGATTTGCTCCGAATTTTCTCCAGAAAATCAGAAATAAATCGTTTAACAATACTCCTTTAGAATAGAATTCTAAAAGATTTTGACCCTGAAAATCGCAAATTAGTTATTTTTCTATTTTATTATTTTTTTTTTCTATTTTCATATTTTCAAAAAAATCCGAAATTTTTTTTATTGACTCATTTTGATTTTATTTGATTTTTAGTTATATTTTTATAATTTTTAGATTTAATTTTATTCGGTTTTCTATTTTTCCATTCTTTTTCTTAACGGGGACATTGTTGATATTTTTCTAATTGTTGCTGCATTGCCGAATTTGTTCTTTGTTTTATTTTCTTTGTTGATTTTCCTATTAAATTTAATATGACAAGTCAAATAACTCTTAGAGAACTTGTTGCCTATGATACGAACTATAATGCTTTATGTATGGAATATCCTGTTGTTAGTGTACCTTTCGAATTGGAATCTGATTTAATACACTTGTTGCCAAGGCTTAATGGACTTGCAGGTGAGGATCCGAATAAGCATATGAATGAATTCCAAATTGTATGCTCTACACCTTCTGAACCTTCATTAGAGGACCTTGTCAAGCAAATGGCTATAAATGATCTTCAGTTTCAGCAACAAACAGATTCAAGTCTTCAGGCTCTGCAGACACAGATTGAACAGTTTGCCACTATACTGAATGCCATGCAACAAGCTCAAGAATCAAACCAACTATCTGCCCAAACAGTAGTGAATCCAAAAGAGTTACCATCTGATTTAGTTGATGATATTCATCCTGAGTTGTTATCTGATTTTTCATCTTTATTAGATTATGATGATACTTACTCTTGTGATTCATGTACCGACACTAACGTTTGTTCTGTTTGTGCTGAGATTAATGCTGCCGTACAGGGTGATGTTTTTCATGCAGATGAAGTTGTTTATGTAGCTAAAACTCTTAACATCACGGCTGCCCCAACCTCACCATCCATTGAACAACCTTCCCCCTTGGAGCTTAAACCACTTCATACCAATCTGAATTATGCTTATTCAGATATGGATAAAAAGCTTCCAGTTATAATTTCTTCTAACCTTGATTTTGATGAAGATAATAAACTTTTACAGGTTTTGAAGAAACATAAGAAGAGAATTGGATGGACCTCGATGGAAGTGGGAAGAAAAACAATGAAGCAACCCCTTAACCCATTGATCTCTGATGTTGTGGAAAAGGATATCAAATTCACATGTCCATTCGACACTTTTATTTATCGAAGATTCTTCTTTGATCCTGGAATAAAAGGCGAAGACACTAATACAAATTTCAAGGGCGATGGATGCTATCCAAAGTTACTCCCCACTTTGGAAGAGGAGACGACAGGAAATCTCTCTTTGGGAAAGGATGCATATGTGATCACTTATCCACCTTGACTCCTCGGGTGTGTTCCTTCCTTTCTCTCACTCTTATTTTATATTTATGTTCTTTCGTTGAGGACAATGTATGCTTTAAGTGTGGGGGAGGGAACCATTTACTTTGTTTTATTTCTTTCAATTTTCTTTGTTTTGTTTTCATTTAATAAAAAAATTGTTTACTCAGAAAAACACAATGCATTTTTTGAAATTTTTGGGTTGTAGATCGATTGGAGGTCAGATTGTAGAGACTTGAGAAAAATTCATAAGATCGGTATCGTTTTAACACCTTGAGTCTCCAAAATATGGAAATCGATTTAGATACTTGTTATGGCTTAGTCTTGAGTTCTCGTTCTTTAATAGCTCTTAAGTAGTTTATCTAGCAGTCAGCACCATCTAAAAATCACATGCTAAGTAATTGTGCTGATGCAAATAAGTGAATGATCCCGTGCTTAAAAAGTGAAAAAAAAAAAAAGAAGAAAAGAAAAGACAAAGAAAAATGTCTAATTATGAATTGTTGAAAAAAATATGGATCACAGTCACTAACAAGCTTAGTTACCATGCGTGTGAATAGATAAAGGCCTTAATGTGATTGCACTAGAATGAAAGAGAGCAAAAAGGAGGATGAGTAAGTTAGACTTAGGCATAACGACATGATTTGGATTGGTTTGTATAGGAGGGAGTCTTATGATCGCAAAATTGCGGATTTGTGTTCTTACGATATCCTTAGTATGCAAAAGTAGTACCGATCAATGCAATCTTGACCAAAGAGGAGTTCACAACCTAGATTGAATAGCTGAATGTTTTTGTGTTTCATGAGTTTTGACAATACTTTGCTCGGAGTGCAAAAGTTCATGTGTGGGGGAATTTGATCAGTGCATTTTAATGTACCTTCCTCTATGTTTAGACTTAGGCATTTCTACCATTTAGTTTATTTAATTTCCTATTTTATAATGTTTTTACAATTTATTTTATTTTAAGCTTTATTTAATTTTCGTTTGTTATTTTTCAGCATTAATAGCTTTTAGTGAAAAATTCATAACTGGAGCTACAGGAATCGGATTGAGGCATTCTACCAGTCGTTGGAAAGCTAAGAAAGAGATCTACAACTTTCATGTTGCACAAAGGAGCTGATTCGGATTTCTTGAGTCTCGAATAATTCGTTGAAGTTTCTGACTTGTGACAATGTAGTTTTCCTTGCGGGTCTAGTTTAGGTTTCTGGCCCAGTTATTTTCTATTTAAAGTTGTTGTTGTGATGCAAAACAGGGACCTAGTTTATTTTCCGAATTTTTTTCCTTTGTTTTATAGTTTTCATGGAGAACTAATACCTCCGGGCAAATCCTGCTGTGTACGGTTTCAACACTTTGAGGTTATTATTATGTCAATTTACTCTGATTCCTTTCAATCCTTTTCTATGAAGTCATCTGCTTAATTTGATTACAATTGTTTGCTTAATTCAATTGTTGTTCATAGGATAGAATTGGTTAAATTCGATTGTATGCATGTTCCTAAATTTAATTGCGTATTATCGTTTGCTTAATTCGTTAATTCGTCATATTCTTAACCGTTTGCTTAATTCGGTAAACAGGAACATAATTCATTTGATGTTGATAAGCGCTTGTCTGATTAATATCATAATCGAATAGGATTGGTACCGCTTAGGGATTGATGTTATAATAACCGATGATAAGTCGGAACCCGAATCAGTAGGATTAACCGTTTTAGTTTATCTGATAATCACTTTTTTTTAATCACTTTTTTTTTTTATTTTATAAATCAAAACTTAAAACCCCCATAAACATTTTCTTTAGTTGGTTGAAATAATACAAGAATCCTTGTGAGAACGATATTTCGAGTCATTTGTCGCTATATTACATTTTTATCAAAACTACTCGTTTTTGATCCGCGAGCGACCGCAGATCAAACTCCCTTCTTCCATCCCAAAAGTACATTACATACAACACAATTGTTACACAGAAATAGCTACAAAATGTTGAAACCGTCGCAATAATCGGTTATCTAATCTTCACCTTCATGTACCCTTCACCTACGTCTCCAACTTCCCACGCTTCTTCGAGCTTCACTTTTCTCTGTCCAACATTTATCTCTTAATACGCATTTCTATAATTCTCATCAATTGCTCAGAGAAAATAGAACAACAACAAGAAGAGATTTTGATTTAACCCATGTGAGCCCAGAACGTTAAACTTCAGATATGAACCCAAAGTCAAAAACTTATGTGTCTCAAAACTCAAATGCTCAAAAGGGGTATCTCATAATTCATTAGAATTTTTAAAAATCGAATTAACACGATGGGTGGGGGAAGTGTCAAATAGCTTATCAGTAAGTACACATATCATTAGCGCTCATGCTATAAGCGCTTAATTAATATGATTACCCAACAAAACATGAATTTTGAGTACTAATCAAAAGGAAGACACTTCACTCTTGTAAAAGAAGAACCGGATGGACTACCATTAGGAAGCAGTGCTAGTCTCACAACACTAGCAGCACCTTCTTCAACCGATAACAAACCAATATTGGCAGTTATATCGGTTACGACATAACCAGGACAAACACTATTGATGCTTATTGTAGGAAACTTCTTGGAGAGAACTCTTGTATAAGCATTCATAGCAGCTTTAGAAACGATGTAGGCACCTAAAGTCTTAGGCCAACCATTGTCTTCATCTAATGAACCTTCTTTGAAATCTTTTAGAAATTTCTTCAATACTTTATCCACTTTCTCTTCTGATAGATTATCACCATCACTGAATATACTCTTTGCGTATCCGTTTGGCATACTCTAGAATTGACATGAATAAAGATAAGAATAAGATCTTGTGAAAATCATGTGACGACGGTAAAGTAATTGTGTACTACCTCTAACTGTCCCAAAGTGGATGATACATTAACAATTCTCGGTGAATCGGATAACTGAAGAAGAGGAAGAAGTGATCCCGCGGTTGATGATAGTGAGATTAAATAACTCTTTATTATTGATTATAGTTCGAATAATCCCTGCATTGATATAAAAATTGTCTATTTTTGGATGTTACTAGAATATCAAGTTTTCCAAATTGGGATTTGACAAAATGTGCAAGAGAGGCTACACTAGCTGTAAGCACCACTTTGTCACTACTGCATACCTAACAAACTCAACCAAAGACTATAAGGATCAAAACTTGAAGAAGAAGAAGAAAAAAGTGAAAATGTAAAAGGATGATGAAGAATATAACAATTATTTAATGCTATGAGAAATTATGATTCTAATCATAGTTTTAAATTTCAGTTGCATCTATAATTTTGGTCGCATATAAAGATTTTAGAGGTCTCGACAGCAGCATTGCAACTGCTTCAGCCACACTTATTCGCATTTTGCTACAATATCAAAGTTCATAGTGTAACCAATAACAGAAATCGCCGCTCCAAGAGTTCTGTTAAAACACATTATGGTAGTTTAAACCGTTTCAAACACAAATCGCCGCTCCAAGAGTTCTGTTAAAACACCCTTCATCTTTATAAGTGGCTTATCTTGACAATTCACGAACTTCTCTTGCATTAGAAGCAGTACATAAAGGGCTCGTACATGCTCAAAATTGGCTTAGAATTTATATGTCATGTGGCATACTGGCATTGTACATGCTCAAAATTGGGCTAATATCTTTTTCATTTTTTTCCTGCTACAGCTGCTTTGAAGTACTAGTCACATTTAGAGAAGAATTTGACACAGTAGTAAAGAACACTTCATAACATATCTGTTATCAAAAATTAACAGTGAATGTATACACTTGCAACAGAAGTTCAAGACCGATGTATCATTACATTGACGGCAGCATTAAAGACAACATATTTTAACAAAAAGACATAGAGTTTTTTGGTCATAACATATGTTATAGCAGCATCACAAAAAGTAAAGAAAAACATAGAACTATTCTTGGGTTGGTGGTGGTGCTTGCGACCCTCCGTCTACAACAGTTTCTCCCGCTTCCTTGCCCGACTTTCCATCCATCATGTCTTTCCAAGCATTGACATTGAGCTCTTTCATATGATTCATTGCTCTTTCCCATGCAAGAATTGTTGTGGCTCTAGCTGCCCGCCATAAAGCTTCCTTCATAAATATCCCCGGATATTTCTTTCTCCAATTGCCATACAAGTGTTTAACACATAGTCTGTGTTCAACATGTTGGCCTGTCTCAAGAATAGCTGGTACCAATCCCTGAAATAACAGCATATATCAGTATATAACAGCAGCAACATTGTATATAACTTCTAAGCATTGCAACCATTTATAAGTACCACACCAAATTATAAGTACCTCACCAACATCTGAACAGGCAGCAGGCATCAGTATATAGCAGTACCAATTACAAATTCCACTAACTTTCTAACAGTATTTTCATTCTAATAATTCACTACAATATTTTCACTCTAATAGCAGTAATAATTCTAATAGCAGTACAATATTTTCACTCTAATAGTAGTACAATATTTTCATTCTAATAATTCTAATAATTCTACAAATTCCATTACAATATTTTCATTCTAATAATTCACTACAATATTTTCACTCTAATAATTCTAATAGCAGTACAACACCAAATTATAAGTACCTTACCAAATTATAAGTACCACACCAACATCTCAACAGGCAGCAGGCAGCAGTATATAACAGTACCAATTACAAATTCCACCAACTTCCTAACAGTATTTTCATTCTAATAATTCACTACAATATTTTCACTCTAATAATTCTAATAATTCTAATAGCAGTACAATATTTTCATTCTAATAATTCTACAAATTCCATTACAATATTTTCATTCTAATAATTCCATTTAACATCCTAACAGTATTTTCACTCTAATAATCCATTAATCCCCCTATAACAAGTCCCTAATTCTATGTGCCAACATATCAAATTCGGGCTAACTTCAATAACAGTATAACAAGTCCTTAATAATCCAATTCAACAACATAACACTTTATATTACTATACCCCTCACTCTTGATCAAATCTTCAATTTGCATGTAGGACATCAAGTCCACATTCCAATCCCAATTCATTTCAGTTACAAGCCCATCAACATACAACAAAATTGGATTCTGAATTAAATGTCTCTTATGGTGTACTCTAAGTCTGACAGCTTAGGTATCAGAGGGCCTACAAAACACAAACGATAGTTTCTGAATTGAACCATAGATAAAAACGGGAGTTGGTATTAACAAATCATATGCTATGACAGAACACAAACGCCATTTGCATGTTTAGGATTTTTGTATTCAGATGTGAGTTACGAAACATACCTCGACATGTAACTTCGGTTTGCCATTTCAGAAACGACGGGAAGCGAGCTGCAGATTAATTTGAAGCGAGTTGTGGTTTGATATAGAACTGGGTTTGAAGAAATAGGAAGATGAAAATGGGTTACAATGTGAAGAAGAAATGCGAAATGGGTTTGATTCGTTTGTGAAAATGAAAATGGAAAGATGAAAATGGTTACAATGGGTTGAAGATGAAAATGAAATAATATTTAAGTTAATGGGGTTTTTAATTTAAGTTTTATTTTATTAAATTTATGAAAATGAAATAATATTTAAATTATTGACATGGAAATTATATTAATTTTAAAAAGGTCATTTTAACTGACATGGAAATGCCACATCAGCATTCAACGCGTCACTTCATTAAAAACATAACTTAAAATGACAAGGGGACTAATATTAATTTTGAAACCTAAAAAAAAGACCAAAATCGTAGTTTTTAAAATGAAGGGATCAAAATTCAAAAAAATACAAAATAGAGAGACCAAAGTTACAATTAAGCCAAAGAATAATTATTTCACCCTCAAAACATAGTTGTTTAGAAAATAATAATTATTTTTAAGTTAAAAAATAAAAATAACATTCATTTTAAAAAAATAAATTTTATTTATTAAAAGGACAATCATTTGTCAAATCTGCAGAGACCGCACTCCCAAAAACAACAGAACTGAGTGTTTTTTTTTTCTCTCAAAACAACAACGTTGTATCAATCAAAATTATTTCACCCTCAAAAACAAAAAAGATACATCCATTTTTGAGAACTTGAAACTATTACACAACCCCCTTCTTACTTTTGAAGACTTCCAATTTGTTTTATATTAAAACATACTTTATATAACATATTGCTATATAATACCACTTACACTAATTATTTATCAGTATACATGGATAAGTATCTTTTAAATGTCCACTTTATATTAGACAAAAGAAAACAAATAAATAAAACTGCAGAAAAATACCAAGCTTATGTGATTGCCACTAGACAAATAAAATAGAATCATAAACTCAGCTAGTAAAGTCAAAAGTTTCCTGATTTTCTCGGAAATTACTTAAACTCTCGAGAGTTTGCCAAATGAGAATTTACATGTGAGTTAATTTAAACTCGCAAGAGCTAACTCAAGAGTTAGACAACTTTGAGAGTTTGCCAAATGAGAATTTTTAGACATAGGCTTATTGCAGAAATAATTTATGTTTTCAATTGAACTTGTATCTGAACATCATCTACTAGTTTTCAATTGAACTTGTATCTGAACATCATCATCTACTAGTTTTCTTTTTAAACTTCACTAACCGAATATTCATATAAACTTGAGAAAAGTTTCTTTAAAGAAGAAGCTATTCCAAAGTGAATCCTAATCTGCCATTTGTAACCCAAAGTGTTCCTTTAAAATATCTTTCGATGTCATACCAAAACCACTGGCCACCTTTTTCATATCTTCAAATTTCACCATTTCCCTTCTTATCTGTTCCTTTATTTCCCTGATAGCACGGTACAAGGGCTCCGACTGACTTAAGTTTGGGCATTCCAGTTCAGACACTACATTGTCTAACTGCTCATACAAGTTCTTCAAATTCAACTTCTGTGCCTTCAGTTTTTCTTTCGCCACCATAAGTTCCAGCTCTTGGGAATTTCTAAGACCCACCAGTACTTCATCAATCTCAGCTTCAAGTTTCAAAGAGCGTGACTGATAATCATTAAACTCCTCCCTTAATCTAGCATCTGAACGGATTGCATTCATTGTCACTTCCATTGGATCAATGCCACGGTGTGGTAAGCCTAATAAGGGTTAAAGAAATATGAATTTACAAGATCAGTAGTGTTGACAGTCACGGAAATCAAAGATTATAAACGTTCACTTTCTGTATCTAAGTCTTAAAAGAGCAAACAAAACCTACTCATATATCATATATATGCAGTTGCACACGTCTATAAGCATGCAACCATAGATGTGAGTGGAAAGTAGTAAAAACCAAACAGCTAGGGGTTGGGAAAGGACATTTACCTGCAGAATGAGCCATAGGATTGTCATCTCTCTTCCTCTTCTTCTTTGTACTTTCACCATTGCTCACACATTTGAGCTGAAACAAAATTATCAACTTGGTCATAATAAACCTTACAATATGTAACAGATTACAAACAAGATGTTTTTCTAATCATCTAAACTCATTTGAAATATACCTTTGTGATGGCCAATTCAACAGTATTCAGAAGCTTCTTTGCAGCCGGTTTTGTTGAGCCGCGCAACAGACAAGCACCAAGGTCTAAAACCTTCTTCTTAATTTCATCATCCAAATCAACAGTTATACTTTTACATATTTGAACAAATCTTTCAACATGAGAGACAAGATCAGTTCTCCCATCACATCGTCTGCAATGGTACTCAGCATCCAAACCAATACTTTTCCCAACCGTACCAGCCAAAGAAGATCTCAGAGCACATTCCAGATGAGCAACATGGCCACAAATTCCTGCACCAG